CTGAATATATCTATTGTGCTCCCCTGCTACTTATAATTGACTGGCCAGCTTCAAGTTATTAATCAGCGTCAGTAGATTTGCGGCTCTTAAGTAGCTTGATCTAAAGCAGGACATGAATTAAATTGTTTAAAAGTTTAAGGTTCAATTAAATGTAAAAATATACGTTTTACATCAAAATATAGTATCGGGTTTCACCTTGATTTTGAAATTAATTTAATATTCACAGACGATCAAATATTGCAGGTGAATCCATGTTTTAATTGGTCCTAGTTAATGAAAGTAATGTTTTAAGTGAGATGGCCGCTTCTCACGAATTTAACAAATTAACTAATGATTTAAATTGATTTATTATTTTAATGTAAACTGTGATTGAGATGGAAATGTCACGAGCGGAGCTCAAAATGAAAGATTTTACATAAAAATTGTAAATTTATTTTATTGTATTTTTAATGTCTGTTGTACCTACGTTGTTAATTAACTGTTGTTATTTAATTGAACTAACAACACCGTGGGGAGAGGGGCCGGCTATCGTAAAATGAGTTAACCAAGGATTGATCTCCCGGTCTCCTGTTGAGTTGCTTTTCATGGTCTGAGGTTCCCTAATCAGATAAACCGTTCATCCTCAATGGACGCTCAAGATCTGAGGTTTAAGATTTCAACCTTACTTTTAAGCTGAACTTCGGCGTTATATGTCGGGGTAAACCTGATCCAATCCCAAGGAAGAAAATTGTTTTATCTTTGCATGTCATTTAACATAGTGATAAGGCATTTTTCAATTTATTTTATAGAATAAGTTCTTATTGAAAATCTCCATCTATTCCTGGAATATAAAACGGACAGCAAATATATTTTTTATATTTTTCTTTTGGCAGTTTGGACGTTGCTGATCTTTTTGCCTAGTGGATTTGTGTGTTAATTACCACGTACTTATGTGCCATAAGTGGAAAAAAAAATCGATGAAAGGAAACGGTTTACTAGCTTCGAATTCGAGTCTCACGTCTACTGGACCAGTTTTTATGGATTCGGACTGTTTGGCACAATCGATTACGATAAGAGGTGCATCGTCTCTGAATTGACATAATGAAAGTAGTGGAGCTGGGGATGAATCAGTGTAGAAATTCTTTTGGAAATTTGTATACACATAGTATAACATTCCGTATTGGTTAATGGAAAAATGTATGTTTAAATCGTCGTATGGGTAAGATTTCGAATTTAAGAAGAGTTTTACATTTGTCAAACAACAATGATCAAATTTACTTGAATCTACCAAGGAATTATTTTTTCTAGATGACTGAAATGCTAAAATTACAAAACGAGGTTTTTCCATTTGAGTTGAAGTTTTAACCGCCCACAACTGCCTCTGAGTCGTAGGAAGGAGCGGGTAATCGTACCGGGTACGTTGTATTCATTGAGCAGCGATTTCAGGAATAGTAACCATTCGTAAGATCCTTGTAGGCTAAATCTTTTCCAAAACATTGTTTTTAATGTTCTAATCGCTTGTTCTACTATGGATGCTTTCACATTACTGAAGGTGGAATAATGATTCATATGGAATTTTTTAAACAGAGAATTTGTTTCTTTATTGTAAATTTCATTACCTCGATCGGTTTGCAAGTTTCTTGGTATACGACCCTCGGATAAATGCAAGATTTTCTTGAAAGCGCCGCTTATTTCTTTGCCCGATTTCCTTTTTACTTCCATCGCCCAAATATATTTTGAAAAACAATCAATCACGACCAATATATATTTGAAACCTTTATTTTGGTTACTGCATGGTATCATTTCTATCAAGTCCGCTTGCTATAAATCGTCGGCTTAAACACTAAGAGAGATACGAAGTTATAAAAAAAAAAAATTAATAAACTCAACTGGTGCTTTGTAAGGACGTTCTGACCACCTATGTTAAAAACACCAGTGGATAAGGCAAGGATCGAACCCGCGACCGTCAACGAAAGATTGGTACCACATCTCTCACATCAACGACCCCATGATATTATTTTAATGCGATAACAAGGTAACTTCAACGAGTTGAGAAATCCATCCAAGCGAGAAGTCGGTTTTCGACCCCTAATAAAAATATATTTCCTATACGTTAAAATTATGGAATTTATTTTATTTAACATTGTGTATAGAGGGAGCGACGAGCGCATTAGTAAGAGGGATCGGCAGGTAAAGGAGGGGGGTGACGAAATAAACTTGTATGTTCATGCGTGTCTCCCACGACTCACTCTATCAACGACTATCGTAGTGTGTACACACACGTATTGGTAAGTAAGTTTTAACTTATAATCAATTTACAACGGTATAGTTATTAATATTTTACTATAAATTATCTTATTGTTTATAGCAAAGCACAACAATATAATTAAAAAGGAACCAACGAGATGCCTTCCTCCCTTGCATCATATTTGTCGACAATTGCGAAAAAAAGACAACAACATTGGTAAAATTTCTCAATTGCGAATTGGATTTGAATACGTGATCGGAAAATTCCAACGAATAAATACCAAATACGGTAATACCGTCATAGCATATATAGAATACATCGGACCTTATTCATTGGATGATGAGTGTCCCAGAAAAATTCTCTTCCCCAGCAGGATCGTCGAAGCCCTCAGAGACGTCATGTTTGAAAAATACGAACAATCACACCAAAAGAATAATATAATATACAACTGGTTGGAAAATGAAAGATATAATATATTAGATAAATGTTAATTTTGTTATGTTGTAATTGATTTAATAAAAATGTGTTATTTGATAATTTAAATATGTTTTATTTATTTCTAAGTACCTATATACATATAATGATAAGCAAATTACAAAATCTCCCCCTCGTATCAGAATGGAAAACAATTTATATATCCTAAACATATTTAAAAACAAATTATAATATTAGATGGAGAACAAAAGAGACAAGCAACTGCATGCCATTAGTAATGTCACAAGAGCAGGCAATTTTCACATATCTGCACCTACGAATGCATTGACTGTATCTTTCACACAGCCCCTTTGAGCTAGTGAACCCCGTCAGACTTCATGACTTGTGAGCCGGTCCCACGAAATTGGATGTTGACCTGCGCCAGAACTGAAATTTTCTATCTACTCTGTGGTTCAGATAAAGACCACCAGGAGCTCCAGCGAACCCCATCAGACTCCATGAGTGAGGTGTGAGGCGTTCGCGACAAGTTGGACTTTGACCGAGGTAGTCTCAGAACCAGCGTTTTTCCTCTACATATAGTTCAGATTACGGCCACCAGGTGCGCTAGTGGGACCCCGTCATACTTCATGACTTGTGAGGCGGTCCCACGAAATTGGACTTTGACTCTGCGCCAGAACTGTCATTTTCTATCTACTCTATAGATCAGATTAGGGCCACCAGGTGCGCTAGTTGACCCCGTCATACTTCATGACTTGTTCCACGAGGCGGTTCCACGAAATTGGATTTGACCCTGCGCCAGAACTGTTATATTCTATTTACTGTGGTGTTTAGTGACCGTTAGCCAATGATTATGTGGAGATCGTGAGGTGAGGTCTGTGTGACGTAGGTTTTTGAAAAACATTTTCTTTATCATGCCACGTTTCGATCTTTATTGAGATCATCTTCAAGGCTCAAGGTGTTTGTTTTCCGTGTAGATGTGTCAATCTTGTGTATCGTGTTGAGAGTGCTCGGAAAAAACACTTTGAGCCCTGAAGATGCTCTTAATAAAGATCGAAACGTTGGCATGATAAAGAAAATGTTTTTTTTTTAAACCTACATCACACCAGACCGCACCTCACGATCTCCAAATAACTATTATTTAGTGTTTTTATAAGTGCAGCTTTCGTTATGATTATGTTATAACTATGTTTCGAACGAAGTGTTTGCTTTTCTTTTTATTTATTTAATAGACGTTTTCTTGTTTATTTTGTAAATTTTACTCAAGTCTGATTATCTTGTGGTCGTCAACAAGACAAGATCTGTTATTTCTAAGGGTCACTACTCCTTGAGAGAAAAAAATAGCGTGGCGCCCGAACTATATATTCATTTCTACACCCCACGAACTTTTCCACCGGCACCCAGAACTGGTGGTTGTCACGAAACCCGAGACACATTTTTTTTTAAAAAGATCATATCTTAAATCTCCAGAGATTTCTTGTTGAAGACTGCGGGGTGTTGAACCTACAGTTTGGTCTGTCGCGTTTTGGCATCACCCCATCTTCAAGTAGAAAGTTTATCGCCCTAATTAATTATATTTTTGAATGTATTAACAAATTTGTACTTATAATTGATTTGATAACCTGAATGGTGATAACCTGCAGATTGGTCTTGTCCAACCGTACTAGTTTTGTTTATTTGACTCGGCGTTTTCCCATCTTCAGCAGTTGGTATTGTGGTCTATTTATAATTCCTATATTTCTCAACATGTATTTTACAAATATAAATTCTAATACCCCAGATGTGAGATTTCTTATTGAATTTCGTTAGGTTGTGGGTCATTGTTTTGGTTTCCAGTCATTACAACTAGCCTATCCTCGCGTTTTTTGATCTATGTTAGGCGATTGGCAACCTTATGTGATCGTATGCTGATTGGTTTGTACGCTTTTCGGTGTGTATCTCTATTTATACGAACTTAACAAACCCTCCACAGTAACTGTCTTGCCACAAGCTCGTTTTTTTGATTAGAGAACTATTTTTATTTAGATAAACTGCACTCATTTTTTGCAATCTTTATAATTGCCGGTTTTAATAAGATCTATATAATGCAATTTCCTGAATAATGATGATGACTGCTTTTTCGTTTACAATAGCGCAGGTCATATCAACCCAGGTTTCGGTATTTGTCTATTGAAAAAGCTCATTTGAAAATCCTTTACTGTTCGATTCAGGACCGCTGAAATGACTAATCTGAAAATACCTCTATTTCGGACCTAGTTTAGACTCCCTTTATCTACCATACTATACCAAAATTGTTTGCAGTCGTTAAATTATTTACAAAGAACGGATTTAATCTGTTTAGGTCGGAAGACGGATTGACCGCAGAGGAGGTCATTTTCATGAGGCGAAACGAATGCAACATTCAGGAGAACCTCACAGGTAAGAATGTACAATATTTCTATGCTTTCGAACCTTGAAATGTAACTTAAATTTACGCAATGCTACTTGTCACTGAACCATCTTTGAAATTAATTTTCTAATTTTTTCCTCTATTAAGGTGAAAGCACGAATGTGGTCAACTTCTCCCGCATATCTATTTCCTACAAATCTCAATTGAGCTTAGTAAGGATTAGTGGTTTAACTCACTGTTAACATTAAAAACAAATTTTAATTAATTATACTTATTATCTAAGATGGTGGTTGTGGTGAAAAACTAGTGTCACGAGCGGAATTCGAACCCACGACCTTCGGCTTATCAACCAAGACCTTGGATGAAAAATCTAAATAATTAATAGTGTTATACCCAAAATTATTTCAGGTCAGAGCAAAATTATCCCGGTAGCTCGTAGGAACAATTTACAAAATAAAAAATAAAAAAATAAAAAATAAAAAAAATATTAAAGACCAAAGAAATAATGGTGAGTTGGGCGTCACCCCATTTTATGCCTCCAGAGTAATGGGGAACTCCTTTAACTAAAAGTATGTTCTTATTTATACTCTAAATAAATTTGATAAAAATAAATAAATAAATAAATATATGAGAGGAATGTAGTATAATCTTTTCTATAAAAAAAATGATTTACTTTATTCCATGGCGGACACTTGTGGGGGGGGGAGCTTGCGCCAGGATAGAGCCAGCCAGCCTAACACGGCGGGTCCTGATCAGCAACCTTACCTCCTCCTTATCACATTCGAGTTCCCTCTGCTTAAATGATTGTTTATGTATTTACGAGGTACCTGGCCATACAAAATAATCAAGCCAAACAAAAAAGTAGATTAATAAGGAGGGAAAGAAAAAAAATGAGAATCCACTTAACAATGGGACGATTTATTATTCCTAAACAAGGCAAAATTAAAATACGTACTTGGATTCCTTAATCAGCTGTAAAATAAACCATAAACCAGATCTGGACTAACTTAAAAGAATTAAAACTTAATCATCTAAGTTAACAATTGTAAATCGTTAAAATTAAAACAAACAAAAACTCCTTCTTCATGGGAATCGTTGATCCAGTAACAACCATCCGCCGAGTCCTCTGGGTTCCAGTCCTGCCGAAATCCGCTCCAAAAAAAAAAAAAAAAAAGATAAAATCTCCGGAGAATTGGGACCGTCTCTATATCTTTTCGGAAAACCACGAACGGACAGTCCTCAATCGTAGCCGTGTCTGGTGAGGAAGGCGCCTGGTGGAAATTCCAAAAGAGAATCTCCATGAGCTGCCCACTCGTAGGTTTACCGCACTGTTCTCCTCGGCGACCTCTGGCTTGGTACAAGCGATCGCGTTATCGCTTAATCCACGGCACTTAATAAACTCTCGTAATAATAACACTCGTTGTTGATTTTCACCAATTTCCTACGTAATCTGATTTTAATTAATAAAAATTTATCCACCTAATAACTAGGTTACATACCTTCTATATACATACCTACATACCTTCCTGTGTGTGTGTGTGTCTGTGTCTATATATATATGGATTAAAAGTAAATTCACTATTTTTCATGGGGCAAAATACCTAGTAGTTTTCCTCTCTTACAATAATGATATTATAAAAACCAATTATGGTATGTATGGAATAAAAGTAAATTCACTATTTTTCGTGGTCTGCTTGATCAATAATTTATTGTTATTAATTGGTCAAGCGGACCACGAAAAATAGTAAATTTAATGAATTAAATTGAAGTATACTTTAGTAAAGCTCTCCGTGGCCATTTCATTTGTCGCCGAGAATCCAATCCTATTACACGACATTTGAAAAATGGCAAAACGACGGGATTGAAGTCACAATAGCTCAAGTGGTAGAGTAGCGGCGTTTCAAGCCGAAGGTCGTCGGTTCGAATCCCGCTGGTGATACTGACTTTTTTTAGCTCAACTTAAAACCGTAATTAATTGTATGTTATTAATTCGTCAAGCGGGCCACGAAAAATAGTGAATTTGTACTGTAGATTTAACACTAATTAGCCCCTCCCTACACCCTGAGTTTCTCTCGCACACTCTAGATGATTTACATGGTAGTGATCATTTTCCCGTATTGATTACCTGCACCTCTCATAACAACCCAACCAATGGACCTTTGAGGAGGCAAATTCAGAAGGCTGACTGGTTGATGTTCCAGGAAGAAGTGAGCCTTAGGCTGCTAAATCTCATTGATAATGACTTAGATAGGTTGCTTGCAACTATTAATGAACTTCTTCTAGAAGCAGCTTCTTAAAGCAATTCCACGGTCTTGTCCTACACAAGTTAAACGTAAAAAAGTCCCTTCGTGGAATAAAGAACGCGAATAGGCAACTAAAAGTAGGAAAAAGTGCCTAAGACAATTTATACGTCGCCCTTCAACAAACAGCCTTGATAAATACAATGCGGCCAAAAAACATACTAGATGTATTATCAAAAAAGGTAAAAGAGATTCCTGGCGGCAATTTCTTAAGAATACCACTTCCAACACTCCCATAGCTGTCTTCTGGGATACAGTCAGAACAATAAGAGGGAAGAGATACACACTATCCATAGCATACTCAAAACAATGGGGAAATTACTACAACCCCTGTTACCATTGCCAACATTCTTGCCACGCATTATCACGATGTATCCGCTATAGCAAACTATACCAATTCCTTTTGCTCTAAATTCGCGCAAAGACACCTCCCCGGCCCTTGAGTAATTATACTTAAAATTATTAACAGAATCTATGGATATGGGGAGTTTCGACACATCTGGAAAATCGCGTACACAATAAAGATCCTTAAAAAAGATAAGCATCCGCTGGAGGCAAAAACTATCGACCCATATCTTTAACCTGGGCCATCTGTAAACTAGCTAAAAAGATGATTGCAAACAGACTACACTAGTATCTAGAGACCCGAGGGCTGCTACCTGAATGGCAAAGTGGCTTCAGAAGAAACAGGAGTGTAAGGGATAATCTTGTAAATCTAGAACAAGCTATATATGACTCATTGAAAAATAAAAATAAATTATTAGCGGTATTTTTAGATATACAAACCACGTTTGACCGAACATGGAGACGTCTGATTATAGATACGCTACAGAATTTAGGGATATCAGGATGTATGCTATTATTTATTATGAACTTTCTAGACAGAAGAAGTTTTCGTATGAGATATGGCTCCGCTTACTCAGGGAGCTTTGCTCAGGAAAATGGAGTACCACAGGGCTATGTGCTTAGTGCTACACTTTTCTGCTTAACCTTGCTTAAGCTTGCTCAGGGCCCGAGCGATAACACACGCGCGATATTAACCACGCTCTGCTACCCATTTATGTAACGCCTGTTATCAAATTGTAACGACGTTTACTATTAATTAACCTTGAGTTAATAAATAAAATAAAACGAGGTAACTTTTAATTATTCCACCTTTATTGTACACAAAATCCCAATATAGCCAATATCAAATAATGAATAAAGCCTTCCTTATTTTAAATTAAATAAAATACTGAATTTATACGATAATAAACGAAATCAAATTAAACTAATTTTCAACTCCACCAAAGCATATAAAATTAAACATATATTATAAATCAAAGGTACTCAATCCTGTGAATCCTTATTCCTCGGGATCTCTCGCACACCCGAGTACCTCCATCTTATTTTTTATCCGAGATACCCAATCCTAATCATTGGGCTCGTGACAGTTCTACTCGGCGATCGTATATAGTTAAGACTTCATTAAAGGTTAAACATAAAAGTGTAGCACTAAGCACACTGCCCTGTGGTACTCCATTTTCCTGAGCAAAGCTCCCTGAGTAAGCGGAGCCACTTCTCATACGAAAACTTCTTCTGTCTAGAAAGTTAGGTATCTTGCATTAAAGTCTAAAATCAACCGCCTTCTCGAAGAGGGTGTCATAGAACCGATTTCTTCGCATTATACCTCCCCATGCTTTGTGGTACCAAAGAAACCAAATAGAGGTATGTCCAAGGACTTTCGTTTGGTCATCGACTACAGAGATCTCAATGCAAAAATCCAATATGTATCCCAACAGACCCCTACCATTGAGGAAGCAATGATTCATTTGCGTGCTGGTTTTTTTTTCTCAGTTTTTGACCTTAAAAGCGCTTACCATCAGATACCGATAAGCGAAAACGCCAAAAAATTAACAAGTGTTCAAGTTCCCTGGAACACATATGCGTTCCGAAGAATACCCTTCGGCCTAGCTACGGGTGGCCAGATTTTGACTATTCTGAAGGAAAAGATTTTTGGGGATTTAATTTATGATTGTTTATTTTTTTATTTCGACGATCTGGTCATATATTCGAATTCATATGAAGAGCATTTGCAACATTTACAGTTAATTTTTGAACGCTTGAGAAGTGCAGGACTTACTATCAACCCACAGAAAATGCAATTAGCCCAAAGAAGAATAGATTTTTTTGGGCATACGATAGAACATCGGAAGGTATCGGTAGGCCCTGCACGTGTCAACGCAATCTTGAAAATTCCGAAACCACAAACGCCAAAACAGATTGCCCAATTCTTAGGAGCTTTCAATTTTTTTGGACGCTTCATTCCAGATTTAGCAAAAATAGCCAAATCATTAAACGATTTAAGGAAAAGAGACTCTCGTTTAATTTGGTCGGTGTAATGTGAAAAATCATGGAATACTTTACGCCGAAGATTAACTACACCCCCTGCTTTAAAAACACCAGATTTTTCAAAACCATTTTCCTTGTTCTGTGACGGCTGTAAGATGGGAGTTTCTGCCTAACTGGCGCAGAAGATCGATCGGGGTTGGCAACCAGCAGCCTTCACCTCCAGAAAGCTCAAGCAGTCGGAGCAAAACTATTCAGCTTTCGACCTAGAAGCCCTTGCAATAGACTTTGGACTAAAAAAAAATAGGGATCACAAAGCATTAACAACCATTGTTAATATGCAGGGTCTTGGAGGGCGCCTCGAGCGTTTTGTTACCCATCTTATGTCCTTTAGGTACAAG